CTGCTGGATGTGTCGTTGTCCTCGGAGGAGAGGAGAGAGGTAATCGCAATGCCACCGCCCCTGATCTGCACCCGCGCCGCTCCTCCGCCGCCGCCGCTGCTGCCGCCGCCGCCGCCGCCGCCACCGCCGCCCCCGGCGGAGCCGGCACTACGCCGCCTGTTGTTGTCGCGTGCGACGTCTCCGCCGTAACCGTCAAGCCCCGCCGCGTTCGCACTCCCAATCGTGCCGTTGGAGAACTCCCCGGCAGATGAGAATCTCCTGACGTGACGTGAACCGACCGGCCGGGGCACCCCGTCTTCGCCGATCCTGGCCGCTGCTGCCGAAACGGCTCCGGTGGTGGCAGCAGCATGGGGAGACGCCGAGCTCTCCCTGCCGCTGGAGATGCCGCCGCGGTTCTGGATGTAGGCCTTCCTGCTGCGGTGATAGGAGCCCCCTTCTGCCCTGCTGCTACTGCCGTTGCCGCTGGCAGATGCTGGCGCCAGCGATGCTGTCGCTGCTGCTGCAGCAGCAGCAGCAGCAGCGGAGCCAATTCGGATTCCTTCACCACTGTTGCTGCCGCTATCCCGACCGCCGCCGCCGCCTCCTGCAGAAAAGGCAGAAGCACGCGAAGTCTGTCCCGTGGCAGAGTCGATCTCGATTTTCGGACACATCCTGGAATCCGCCGTCTCGGCAAGGGCAGCGGCAGCAGCGGGCGAAGCGGCGGGAGAAGGATTTCTCACTGCTGCATCCCCCCCCGGCGCGTTCGCGTTCGGTGACCCTGCTGCTGCTGCTGCTGCTGCTGCTGTCGATTGTTGATCCAAGCTCCTCCTAGGGTGCGCGAACTCGGAGTACCTCTGGGAATAGTGCGGCTGCTGCTGATGCCATTCCTCGGCGGTGCTGCTGTTGGTCCCACCACGCCAAGCCTCGCTCTCGGACCTGGAAGGAAGCGCCCCGGGCTTTGCTGTTGCCGTTGCAGCAGCAGTGGACATGGCCGAAGACAGCGAGGGCAGGGGAGAGGAGTTCGCCGTTCTTACCCCTACAGGTGCCAAGGAGATGGGCAAACGTCGGCGGGGGGGAATTTGCGCCGCTTGCTGCTGGTGTTGCTTTGCCTGGGGAGCGAAGGCCGGGCGCAGGGCGTCGAGCTCGGGAGGGGCGTCTTCCCCTGCAGCGACCGCCGCTCCATCCGCGCCCTTCATGGAATTTGCCCACGCCGTGCCCGGGCCGCTGCTCCCGGCCGATGGTGCCGCGGTCGGGGGCGACATTCGCTCGTAGAAGCTGTTTCTCGACAGGTGGTGATGATGTTGTTGCTGGAGCGCCGTAGACCCGCCGCCGCCGCTGACTGGGTCGGCCGGCTCCCGAGCAGCGGGTCGCCCCGGCGCGAGCGCTGGTGCTGTCGTTGCTGGTGGTACTCTGTTTGTCGAGGAGCTCTTGTTGTTTTCCTCCTGCTGCTGCTGCATTCTCAGGCCAGCATTGTGCATCTGACGGCGGTGGTCGTGGACAGTGAAATGGGAAAATCGTCGAGGGAAGCGGGAAAAGCCACTACTATCTTGGCTTCAGGGTGTTTTTTTTTTCTTTTCCAGAATACGGTATATGAATTTCTGCATGGTGCCAAAGAACAGGGATTATATAGGATTTATTTCGGAGGTGTGCCGTTCAGCCGAACGTTTGTCCCGTTCTTCGTTCTCTCTTTAAATATGCACTTCTCAAGGTTTTGACACATGATTCTAGGAAAATGCAACTTTTTCGCAATGGAGATGACGTGTGCATGGCGCCAAAGCGCTTCGGATGGTGGATATATATGCCACAGACAGACGGCCCGGCGGTGCACCCCGGGCGAGAGATTCGTTCTGGGGAGAAAAAGGGAACAGAAACATGAGGAGGAACAAGTCCTCTCGTTCTCTCTCTCTCCGCTGGGGGGGCCCGTTCAACTAGAAACGAACGGATCTTGTCTGCAGGCACCAGTCGGGCAAGTCACCTCTCGCTGCTGCTTCTCAACTGCAAGTTTTATTTTCTCTCGAAGTACTTTGTTTCGTTCACAGATGAATCTTTATGTTCATGCATGCGCTCGATCCTTTCATGCACGCCTTTTCGTGGCCCTGGGCGGCCATACTCCATCTTGCCTCTCTAGTGCCCTGCTTGCTGTTACGGACCGGCCGGCCCAGAGGGCAGTCCACTGTCTCGGTCTGGCGTCAAGACCGCCAAGAGATGGTGATTTGTGATTTGCGAGTTTTTTTTTTCAAATTTCCACACACTGCTGTTGCTTGTGTTTATCCGACACCCTCGGCCCTACAATATCTTAAATGACTCTTACATGCAAGTGCTGCTACTGCCGGGCCGAAACAATCTGCGAATGAAACCACACCGAAGGTGTGTTCGGTACCGGCGTGATGTCGGGTCGGATGCATCAGGCGGTCAGCCGGAGAGGCGCGACATGTAGGCGAGTTTGTTGTCTTTCTGCAAGCAGCAAGCAGCAGACCAGCCTCAGCATTGGGAAGTCGGGAATTGGATTGCAGGCCGAGAGGAATTTTCGTGGGCACAACAAGAAATGCTTGACGTAAATACAGCTCCGCTTAGGAAAAAATAAACTACAGTAGCGTCTTTGTGACCAGCCATCAAGACACCAACACCCAGCCGGCCGGATCCGTCTTAGTTGGACCATTAAAGGCAAACTTAGTTGGCGGAGTGGGCCGGTACGCCAGTACGGCGGCCGGGGCCGTTCCTCACACACCCAGCAGTCAAGTCCGAAGACTTATTGCTTGGGAAAGTAATGGAGAGGGACATGGCCGGAGGGAGGACGCGAGCCTTGTTCCCATACCTCTACCGCCGAGGTGCATCAACATCGGTATGGCTGGTAGGCTGTGGGGCGTTGTTGGGGGTACTGCTGTCACCGGAGATCATGAAGTACCTTGCTCGCCTGAGAAGTAGCAGTGTTGAACCCGACGACAGAGAGGAGAGCATCGCCTGGGAGGTGAGATACACTGAGCAAAGAGATGATGTATCAACCTGCTTTGCACCCGTGCTGTACACGCCGCAGCTGTGAGCCTCGTCGTCCAAAAAACGTTGGTTGTGCGTGCTTGCATCCAAACACTCGTGGTACCACTGCTGTATGGTTACAGCAGTTTGTGTCGGTGCGAACCCATCAAGCCATCACCATTCTCCAGCACCCAGCTCATGGTGACACCCGAACTCTTGCATCTTATTCGAAACTCATCGAGGAGCAACACAACTTAGCCGGCACCAGGTGACCAATGATTCTTGGTAGTACTGATATTTATCAGACAAAAGGTGCGGCAGTTGGACGTACGTGTTTTGAACAACGGGCGCTTGTACAACGTAATTCAACTTGGCGACAACTTGTAAACTGGACGTTATGACACAACAGTCGCCGCCTCCTAGCAGCAGCATGTTGTGTGGCCAAGGCGCCTGGTGTTGACACGACGCAATCTTTTGGCGACAGGTCCCACGTCGTCGCCCGTCACGTCAATTATTCTGAAGATAGCACCCCCCCCCCCCCCCCCCCCCCCCCCCCCCCCCCCCCCCCCCCCCCCCCCCCCCCCCCCCCCCCCCCCCCCCC